CTCTCTCTCTCTCTCTACTTAGATATGTCCATGTATCTGTATATGTATTTGTTGATTATGTTGATCTTTAGTCTTTACAGCTTACCATGTAGAATATGAGATGTTATTAAAGTAGAGTTCAATGGGTTACTGATGATTTCCACATCTGAATTTGTGTTCCTTAATTAAGTGTATATGTATATATGTGTTTATTTTATTTTATTAATTTTTTTGTATAGACACAAATTGGTGAATTTTGACAGTGTTTGTTCTTCAACTTGTAATTTGGAGATCATCTAGTTCTTTATACCTTTCTTTGTGATTATTTGTTTTTCCTCACTGTCTCTTTCTTTCACACAAAGTGTTTGATAAAATGCCAAAGTGAAATTTATATAATTTGTTGGACTTGAAACTGATGCACAGTGTGTATTATGTAACAATGAGAATTTGCTGAGAAATGAAGAAGAAATGGTTGAGTAGTGGAATGTGTATATATGAGCAGATCAAGTGAAGAAAAAGAAAGGAAACAGAGCTTCAAAGAAGAAGATGAGAAATAATTCTTATTTTCTGCAGATTCAATACATCAAACTTAAACCTGCAATCTCACACTTGGCAGCCCAAACTTCTACCATTGCACCCAACAATGGCCCCTTGTCAGTATTACATATTTGATGTTCAATAAACTTTCTGGTCTGACACTGCATATTGTCCTTCATTGACCCTTTGAATCATGGACTATTTTGTTGTCTAAGCCTCTAATAACCTTTATGGTTCAGTTCTATTACTTTATTCAATTTATTCCACAGTACTAGAACACTGTCATATTTCTATATAAATATAGATAGGTAGAAGTCAGTAGTTTACATGAAAAGTGTTAACATGTAGAAATTTGTTGTAAGCAGGGAAATGCTCAAAGACCGGAAGTGCGTGTAGTCACATGGAACAATGATGAGCTTGCAACAGATGCACTACCTGTCCATGGCTTTGAGCATTACAAGGCAAAGGACTATGCCCTTGCTCACGCTCCATTCTCAGGTAAAAGTGTGCAAGAGTTTATGAATTTGCATTCAAACAGTGGTAATACTTATGCATTTTTATGTAGGTAGCAGCTATGCAGGTGGGCAGTGTTACGGTGCTAAACCCATAGGGCCGGGTTTGGGTCGTGACAATATTGTATCCCCAAAGGATGTAGTTATTGCAAAACCTAGGTTAGTTCAATTTTATCTTTCCTTAGTTTCTATTCCAATAGAATGTCAGTATGTAATTTTCCTATTGATAATTAATCACAGCACAAAAGGCCAGAATATTTATAATCCGAATACACTTTTCACATATCCAAAATACTTCATATTTTTTATTCACTTTTTACATGTTTCAATACACTTTACATGTTTTTCAACACTAATAACAGCCCTAAGGGCTGTTTTTATCATTATCGTTAATTATATCAATCTATATGCTATCTTATCTATAAAGTGAGAAGACACTTTTTTCGCACTTGTGAATCCAACCACTGCTTAATGCTATCCGTCAAGTTTAGTTCATGAGATGATTATTATGCAAACATTAGGAGTTATCTGTTTAAAGTTCTCCCCTGCTTCTCATCTTTTTCATATGTCTGCTCACCAAATGCAGTATCTTTACAATTCCAATTAAGCATAGGCTCCTCACCATTTATGGATAGCTAAATCTGAATACTTCAAGTTTGTGAGAAGGTAGATAAAAGTGAAAAAAATCTGGTAGTTCTTTCTTATTGAAAAATAAGAAAATGGTGAAACAAATTAAGGAGGTGCATGGGCAGATAGGTGTCCCAGTTGGTTGGGGGGTGCTTGAGCAGACAAGTGTAGAATTCATCCATTAGTTTTAGTGAGTTCAATGAATTTTTTATTTAACGAATATAAGTGTATGTCATCTTAATATGGTGAGTGAATTGCCTGAAAATGGAATGCTTTAAATTTTAATTCACATTGATAGAAAAAATTGTGGGATTTAAAAGCATAATTTTGATTCCTTTACTGCTCGCATTGTTTGTTTTGCCATTATATCGTCTCCTATGCCATATTAAAAATCACAAACTTTGTTGATTTACAAATGCAATTTCTTGTTGATTGCTAGGGATGCAGATCATATTTCTTGGCTTCTTCAACATGGATGGCATGAAAAAGCTTTAGCAGCAGTTGAAGCTGGGCAGGGACGAAGTGAATGATGAGGTATTTCTGTTTAATTTAGTTTAACGGTTCATTTATTTATTTGCATTGTATTACTTACTAAATAAGTAATTGATGCATGATTTACATATGAAATGTTTACATTTTCTTTCCCATATTTTCATGGAAACAATGTAATATAGAAACCTACAATTTGTCTAGATTCTCTTATTTTGTGGAAGTAGGCTATTTATGTGTTGTTATTTTTAGTCATTCTGGGTTACTTTGTGAATATGTCAATTAATACCTAATGTTATAATCATGATATCAATAAAATTTCTAATTTTGCTGCTTCATTAAATTCACTTTTTTTTTTTAATGGTCTGCATCAAAGTTGTCAGGAAGATGCATTAGTTACAATTTTGAGAAAGAAAAGAATAATGTGGGTGCCTTCTGGGTTTAAGATATTGAACAATGTTACCCCATATGATAAAATCTGTTGTTTCAGTTTTTGATTTTCAATTGAACTTGAGAAGCAGCAGGCATGTGGAGCACTGGCCCAAGTTTTTTCTATTTTGTAACGCTGTAGTATAGCTACTGTGATTTTGGTATAAGCATTCAAAGTAGTCTATTCTGAATTGAGTGTATTACTTCACTGGCAGAATAAATGCAAAGCGGTAGAGCAACAGAAAAGACTGATGTTTATAGTTTTGGGGTTCTGGTTCTTGAAGTAGTGAGTGGAAAGCGACCCACTGATGCAGCATTTATTGAGAAGGGCTTCAACATTGTTGGCTGGGTACTTCTCTTCCCTACCCGTGTTTACACTGCTTTCATTCAAATATGTATGACATGATTGTGGAGCTCACAAGGCGAATTAAGCTTCTTATTTTCCTTGATTAATGATTTCATATGAATCTTCGAGAAAATTCTCTCCTCCTTGTTGTCTTTCCCACTCCAAACGCTGCCCATTTGGCTCTAAGCTGTGTATACTTGTGCAAAAACTAATTTTTAGCATATGGGTCTTTGTTTTTGTGGAGTTTTAGCATTTGGGTCTTGGAGTTTATGAAGTTTTGTGGACTGTGTGAAGAACAGTTTTGAGTCGCAAGACTGAATCTGAAAGGGTTCTACTTCATGTTATAGTAATGGTGGGTTTTGCTTGATGGGTTTCTGATACTAAGCTAACTTTTTGTTAGAGAGTTGTTTGGATGAGGCAATAATGTAGAGGTTGTTAGTTCATGTTAATGGTTTCCGGAATGGTTGGTTTTGGTGGCTTTGATAAGTGGGTGCTGTTGTACTGAAGGTAGAATAGAAAATGGAAAGAAGTGGGTTTATGTTGTGGAGAGTGGGATTGCTGGTTTTGACATTGTTGGAAGGTTCTTCTGCAACTCTTTCTCGTTCTGGTATAAACTATGAAGGTCAGTTTCTATTTGGGATGATTTCATTTTTTGTTTTTGTTCATTTTTGTTGTTTCTTAGAATTAAATGCATAAAGAAAGATACTAAGCTATTGCAGTTATTGGAATTACAAGCTAAAAATTTGGCAGATTTTCTAGTTTCCTTCCCGCCAGATGGTGCCAAAGGTGTCCATCACATAGTAGTATTTAATTTTCTTTTTAAGTTACTTCACTGCTTTTCCATAACTGTTCCATGACATGTTTAATTGATGGAATCTTTACTTTCCCAGATGGGTCAGAATCAGGGACAAAGAGCCACCGTGTGGCTGTCACTTTTGGCGTGAGCTTTGGTGCTGCCTTTTTAATTATAGTAATCATTGGATCATTTGTTTGGTGGAGATATAGACACAACCAGCAAATTTTCTTTGATGTTATAGTTATGGCCTTGTTACTTAATTGTCTATTCCAAATTTGATATAAAAGTTCATCCTCTACCCTCTGTGGTTATCTTTCGCTTTTTCTTGGATCTTTTTCATGTTGTATGTGGGAAAAGTATACTTTTATTAAATTTAGAATGGAAAGTTATTTTTTGCTCCTGTACTTGGGCTACATCTCCAGCCCCTGCTCAAATTTGAGTAAAAAATTTATTTTATATGAACCACTCCAACAGACCAACTCTGATTTAAGCATAAATTTGTAAAAGCTTTACTAATGGCAAAGTGGTAAATTTGAGAGCCAAAAAAAAAAAGAGAAAAGAGAGAGCATTTGAGTCTCGCTTGATTTGGGTAAAAATCGGAGTAAAACTCAAATTTGGTATAAGTTTGGGTCAAGGAGTGGAGGGGTTTTGAGTATTTGAGTTTGATATAGGTTGGAGTGCAAGATTGGAGATGCCCTTAGTGCCCTCATGGCTTTGCGTTCTTGTAGTTTTTTTTTTTTTTACCCTTTTCAAGTCCACGTAATCGTGGCTTGGAAACCCATGTTTTATAATTATTTTTCTGTTGTTTTGATGCTTGCTTGAGATAGAAGAGCAAAATGTGACCCATCTTTGTTTGGTAAAATCTGATTCAGTGGTGGCTTTGATGGCTATAAAAAATGCTCTCAATGACCGATACAATGTTTTGGAGAGCTGGGATATTAATTCAGTAGATCCTTGTTATTGGAGGATGGTTACTTGCTCTGATGGTTATGTCTCTACTTTGTAAGTTGCCTAATCCCTTAACCATAAAGAGATTGGAAAAATGAACAAAAAACTTATCACATTTTACAGATTTCTTGTTGTCAAACTCCTGTTTGGTGAGCTGTTTATCTTCTTATCAGAGGATTGCCTAGCCAAAGCTTGACTGGGACTCTATCGCCTTCAATTGCTAACCTCAGTAACTTGCAATCTGTGTAAGTTGGAACATAGCGTGCGTTTGGTAGGACATTTAGCGGCGCCGCCTATATTAATATCACGACGTTTTTAAAACGCCATAAAGCTATGGCGACGGCCGCATCCTCAGCGTTACTGGCCCAAGTTTTTTCTATTTTGTAACGCTGTAGTATAGCTACTGTGATTTTGGTATAAGCATTCAAAGTAGTCTATTCTGAATTGAGTGTATTACTTCACTGGCAGAATAAATGCAAAGCGGTAGAGCAACAGAAAAGACTGATGTTTATAGTTTTGGGGTTCTGGTTCTTGAAGTAGTGAGTGGAAAGTGACCCACTGATGCAGCATTTATTGAGAAGGGCTTCAACATTGTTGGCTGGGTACTTCTCTTCCCTACCCGTGTTTACACTGCTTTCATTCAAATATGTATGACATGATTGTGGAGCTCACAAGGCGAATTAAGCTTCTTATTTTCCTTGATTAATGATTTCATATGAATCTTCGAGAAAATTCTCTCCTCCTTGTTGTCTTTCCCACTCCAAACCCTGCCCATTTGGCTCCAAGGTGTGTATACTTGTGCAAAAACTAATTTTTAGCATATGGGTCTTTGTTTTTGTGGAGTTTTAGCATCTGGGTCTTGGAGTTTATGAAGTTTTGTGGACTGTGTGAAGAGCAGTTTTGAGTCGCAAGACTGAATCTGAAAGGGTTCTACTTCATGTTATAGTAATGGTGGGTTTTGCTTGATGGGTTTCTGATACTAAGCTAACTTTTTGTTAGAGAGTTGTTTGGATGAGGCAATAATGTAGAGGTTGTTAGTTTATGTTAATGGTTTCTGGAATGGTTGGTTTTGGTGGCTTTGATAAGTGGGTGCTGTTGTACTGAAGGTAGAATAGAAAATGGAAAGAAGTGGGTTTATGTTGTGGAGAGTGGGATTGCTGGTTTTGACATTGTTGGAAGGTTCTTCTGCAACTCTTTCTCGTTCTGGTATAAACTATGAAGGTCAGTTTCTATTTGGGATGATTTCATTTTTTGTTTTTGTTCATTTTTGTTGTTTCTTAGAATTAAATGCATAAAGAAAGATACTAAGCTATTGCAGTTATTGGAATTACAAGCCAAAAATTTGGCAGATTTTCTAGTTTTGGCCTTATTACTTAATTGTCTGTTCCAAATTTGATTTCCGGTGAAGATAAAAGTTCATCCTCTACCCTCTGTGGTTATCTTTCGCTTTTTCTTTGATCTTTTTCATGTTGTATGTGGGAAAAGTATACTTTTATTAAATGTAGAATGGTAAGTTCTTTTTTTGCTCCTGTACTTGGGCTACATCTCCAGCCCCTGTTCAAATTTGAGTAAAAAATTTATTTCATATGAACCACTCCAACAGACAAACTCTGATTTAAGCATAAGTTTGTAAAAGCTTTACTAATGGCAAAGTGGTAAATTTGAGAGCCAAAAAAAATAAAAGAAAAGAGAGAGCATTTGAGTCTCCCTTGATTTGGGTAAAAATCGGAGTAAAACTCAAATTTGGTATAAGTTTGGGTCAAGCAGTGGAGGGGTTTTGAGTATTTGAGTTTGATATAGGTTGGAGTGCAAGATTGGAGATGCCCTTAGTGCCTTCATGGCTCTGCAAGAGCATTGCTTTCATTTATTTTTAGCATTCTTGTAGTTTTTTTTTACCCTTTTCAAGTCCATGTAATCGTGGCTTGAAAACCCATGTTTTATAATTATTTTTCTGTTGTTTTGATGCTTGCTTGATGTAGAAGAGCAAAATGTGACCCATCTTTTGTTTGGTAAAATCTGATTCAGTGGTGGCTTTGATGGCTATAAAAAATGCTCTCAATGACCGATACAATGTTTTGGAGAACTGGGATATTAATTCAGTAGATCCTTGTTATTGGAGGATGGTTACTTGCTCTGCTGATGGTTATGTCTCTGTTTTGTAAGTTGCTTAATCCCTTAACCATAAAGAGATTGGAAAAATGAGCAAAAAACTCATCTCATTTTACAGATTTCTTCTTGTCAAACTCCTGTTTAGTGAGCTGTTTATCTTCTTATCAGAGGATTGCCTAGCCAAAGCTTGACTGGGACTCTATCGCCTTCAATTGCTAACCTCAGTAACTTGCAATCTGTGTAAGTTGGAACATTCTTTCTTCCATGCAATGTGATTACATTTGTATGTTTTCACTTTACTTTTCACCGCAATATTATTTACAATCCTCGCAAATAATCAAGAAATTTAGTTTTGATCACATACTGTTACTGTTTTAATTGTGTAGGTTGCTACAGAATAATGCTATTTCTGGTCCTATTCCTGCTGCAATTGGGAAGTTGGAGAAGCTTCAGACACTTTATCTCTCTAGCAATAAGTTTAATGGTGAAATACCCAGTTCATTGGGAGACCTCAAGAACCTGAATTATTTGTAGGTTTCTGGAACTTTCTTCAACCTTGAGTTGCACCATATATTTCACAATTCAGTACATTCAGATTTTCTCCTTCTTGGAATTGACTCGTTTTTGTTGTGCTTTTTTGAGCAAGTCAGGAAACTAAACAACAATAGCCTTACTGGATCCATTCCAGACACTCTGTCCAAAGTTGAAGGTCTCACACTTGTGTAAGTGTTCGCCCCTCTTCACTTTATTTTGTGTAGAACATTGGAGGAGACCTCAGAAATATTCTTTACCATCTTTTGTGAATATTGCTGGCAGAGACCTTTCTTTCAACAACTTCAGCAGTTCCGTGCCAAAAATTGATGCACGAACTTTCAAGTGAGCTGTACCTAAATTGTTCTCATATTGCTCAGTTGTTTATGTATTTTTTTAATTGATAAAGTTGTCATGCACTTCTCTCTGCTTTCAGGATAATTGGCAACCCATTAATTTGTGGGCCTAATTCAGATAACAACTGTTCTGTGGTCTATCCCGCGCCTGTTTCCTTCCCGCCAGATGGTGTCAAAGGTGTCCATCACATAGTAGTATTTAATTTTCTTTTTAAGTTACTTCACTGCTTTTCCATAACTGTTCCATGACATGTTTAATTGATGGAATCTTTACTTTCCTAGATGGGTCAGAATCAGGGACAAAGAGCCACCGTGTGGCTGTCACTTTTGGCGTGAGCTTTGGTGCTGCCTTTTTAATTATCGTAATCATTGGATCATTTGTTTGGTGGAGATATAGACACAACCAGCAAATTTTCTTTGATGTTAATGGTTAGGTCTTATGTACTTCTATCTTCATTTTATTTCCCAGTTTCTTCATTGACAAGTATCAATTCTTATGGCATTATGATGATTGATTAGACGCATTTGTGCTACAACTTAGTTGCATTAGATTATCATAATTCATGTTGTGTACACTGCATTTGGTTGGCCATTTGTTAAATGGGGGAGTGGTGAGAGAGAGGAGAGGGTAATGTTATTTTGTTACTTTGTATATAAGGTAGTAATTTTTTGATTGAGAATTGTGAATTCAATTTTTGGATATGCTATTTTGTGGGAAAATTAATGCGATATTTGTTATTTTGTGGGAAAATTAATGCTATATTAAATTGAATGGGAAAGTGAATTAATGCTATATTTGTTATTTGAGTGGGAGTTACTATTTCATATTAATGTTATTTTGTTTTATTATTGGTGTTCTTTTAGTTCAATCACATAAAATTAGCACAATTTCAAAACCAAAGAAAAAAGAAAGAAAAAGAAAGATAAGACGACGTTTTTAAAATGACACTATAACGGTTGAAATTTTTAAAATTAAAAAAACCTATGAAGGCATTTTAAAAACGTCGCTAAAATCATAGTGACGTCATAGTATTGTCAGGGCAGGACATTTAGCGGCGTTTTCATACTGATACAGCGACGTTTTCCAAACGCCATAAAGTTATAGCGACGGCCGCGTCATCGGCGTTTGGTACTAAACGTCACAAAAAGAATTAGCGACGTTTTTGGTACCTAAACGCCGCTAAAAGCCTAATTTCCAGCAGTGATAGGTGATGTTATGAGCTTTTATAGGTTCCGTGTGGCACAATCCTAGTAGGACTCTTATTCCTCCATGTAGAGTCCTCCTAGGAATCACCTTCCTGAAAGATAATGCTTATCCTTCAATACCCCCTCACTGCTTAAACCAAGTAAGATGGTTCTACCACGGTTGGATGTCAATACGACCGAGATAACATGGTTATGCTAAAGCCGCAGACTGGACCGAGCTCCCACTAGCTCGGCTCTTCCTTTCACTGCGTTTGACATATTCCAACTGGATTGTTTGAGAGCACTAATCACATCGACCTTGAACCGAGCTAACCAATAGCAAGGTTCTGAGGAAAGCTCAACATACTTCGGCTCAATATGGTATGACCGAACTAACTGTTACCGTTCTGAGTGTGGTGACCAAGCTAACTGCAGAGCTTTCTTAGACCGGGCTAACTTTTAGGCCCTTTTCCTCGGCCCTTCTTACTGTGGTTCACAGAATGGTCCATTACCCAGCTCGGCCCAATTTACACATAAATTACCCTCTCAACAATGAAGATGGAGGCATGTAGAAAATAAAAATAAAATAAATTAGAAACTCTTTGATTACACATAGGAAGCCTTGACTACATTACAAAGGAAGAAGAAGAAGAAGATGGACTAGGACTACCATTTTGCAAATGATGATAACCTTTGGCATTTTTATTTTTTTTTATCATTATTATTTTATGGAACAGGGTAAGACTTCTTGTTACACATGCATTTATAGGCCATAGGACATGTCTCAGCTTCTGCAAGTGAGGCACAGACAAAGCTCACCATGACTAGTCGACATGGTGAGCACGAGCCACAAGCATGAGAGCAATCCGGCAAGCTTGACCCTGCAATTTGTAACGTGTCTGCTATCCGATGCTTCATCGTTCCTCTCTCCACGTCAACATTGAGTTTCACTTTCACCTTCAACCCACCTCCATTGCTAGGCATTGTTGCATGGTGGTGGTGGCCATGATCTGTGACACATTATATATTATTCAGTACAATAGTAAAACTAATATATAGAAATAATTATGGGAAAATTCACTAAATAAATAGAAAATTATGTTTTCCATAAGTGGTATATTAATTATGTGTAAAAAATGTATAAAAATGTGTGAAGATGTTTTGGTATGCCTAAAAGTTGAGATTCTAATTTTTTTAGTGTTTTCTACCTCATATTGACAATCACAGGACTGTCATTAGCATGAATTTTATCATATTATTACTGTTGTTAGTTATTGTTCACTTGTCTACAATTAAGTGAATCTTGAAGAGAAAATATGATTTGGGATCCTCATAACACAGATTGAAATTCACAATTTGGTCAAGGTAATTGCAAAAGAATTTGAAATTTCCTTCAAATAAGAAAAGAAAATGTACAAATTGACAATATCATAAACTCAGCCAAAAAAAAATTAAAAAAAAAAAAAAAAAACAAGGTTAACTACATGCCATCCCCTCAACTATCACTTGAACTCCACTCCAATCAATAACAAAATGATATATTTGGACCTTTAAAAAAAAATAAAAAATCAATGCCTTATCTAGTACGAAGTAATGCAATATTATATTTAAGGGATACAAATATATACGGTTTTATAATTGAGAGAGGTTAACTTGATCAAATATAATATATACACGAATATGTGAGAGAGACAGAGAATATAAATCATACGTGAGCTTTGCCAAGCAATGTGCCTTGCAGACATGACTGCGGGAACAAAAAGAACAATGAGAAGAACAACGGCAATGCAGGAAAAACCCTTCATGGTTATGGCTAAGTAAGACCTTTTCTTTCACTATTTTCTTTTTGAGTAGAGCTTGAACTTGTTTGGGGAGCCAGAAAATGAAAGTGGTATTTATATTGAAGCCTAGTCACAGACAAAAGTGTGTTGGTAATAGAGAGGGTGAAAGAACATGTCACATGAAAGAGAGGGTACACAAGAAGATGATGATGAGTGAGAGAGTTTCATGGTTTTTTGCTTATTTTCCATTTTATTACGCTGTATTAGCTTGAATTTACTAAAGGATCCTCTAAAGTGATTTTTTCCTAAAGTTTCTTAGAGTGCTACATTGTGTGGTTGAAATTTATTGGCAAGTCACATCAATTTTTCTGATGTGACTTGCCAATAAATCTCAACCACACAATATAACACTCTAAGAAATTTTAGAAAAATTTCGATCTAGACGATCCTTGTAAAATTATGGTGCTTCATTTTACGTGAGTTTCTGACTTGGATTGTGAAAACATAAATACCCATAAATGCAAACTTGTACTAGTACATATACACAATATTAATTCTTTTCGTTTTATAGGTACACAAGCCCATTAATTTTTCAGTACCTCATGAGATGTTTAAGATAATTATTCAATAGTAACATTAATCAAATAATGTTATGCAATTGAAAGACAATATATGATCCACTTAGTGTATTTTGTAATTCTTTATATATTAAAAATAAGGTTAGGTTCATATTCATATCTCAATATGAGAAAATTTGAGAGTCCCATAAGACTCACCATAGGTCCCGTTTTGATATTCTGAACCGTTTATTTTCCCCAATGTATACTATTCATTAAAAAAAATTAAGTCGATTTGATAATCATAACTTTTTTATTTTATGTGTTTGTCTCTACAAAATAATTGGTATATTTTGAAAAATATATTTTCGTCCATTTTCTCAGAAACAAATGCAATAAAATGAAAATGTCATAATTATCGGATCGAATTATCTTTTCTCTTTCATGAATGATATATATTGAAAGTTTTATAAAATAAACAATTCAAATTATCAAAACAAAATCTGTGATGAGCCTCATTAACTCTTTAAGTTCTTTCGAATTGAGATTTAAACTTGGAGGGAAACTCAATCCTAAAAATATTAAACAATGCAACATGGTAATCCACGACTAAGTGATAAATTTCGACACTTCCGTTGGCTAGGTATTTATGAGATCTTCTATGCCAGTGATACGTCTTTCTGTTTTTTATTTGATTCAAGTCAGTGATACGTCGTTTTCGTAGGAAACTTAAGACAAGTCAAGAACCAAGTTTCTCTTACCACGGAACTAACAAAGTACACATATGTTTGGGTAAAAATGTCTTTACCCCTTTCAAATTTTATAAAAATACATGTATATATTTTTGTTATTTTTAATAGGGTAAATTACCAGCATGTGTATCTCGTTAAATCTTATTAATTCATCACTGGAAGTTGATGCTAATAGAATTGTTGCTAAAAATTAATAATTAGTAACGTTTTTTTTAATTTGTCACTAAAAATTAACAATTAGTCATGTTTTTATAAATCTATCGCTAAAAACTAACAATTAACAACTTTATTTTAAATTTGTCACTAAAAAGTGACAATTAGCAACATTTTTTTGTGATGAATTTTTTAACTGTCACTAAAAACTAACAATTAGTGACTTTTTTTATTATAAAAATGCCACTAATTATCATATGACCTATTTGATAATAAGGCCTCGTTTAGCAAATGGCTATTTTAGCTAAAAAGCCAAAAAATTATTAAAAAAATCAAAAAACTAACAATCTATACAAAAAAGTCAAAGATTCTCTTTTCACTCTACTTTTTATACATCTTTTCGTAAAAAGTTAAAAAGTTATCTCAAACATATTAGTTTTTTTTATATCACATTTTAGTCAAAAAAATCAAAAAATTACTAAAAAAATTTATTTCCAAACAAGGCCTAAGTCTACCTATTGAGATATATACGTAATTCCTCCTTTTGATATATCGTTCACACTCCTAAGGGTATTATTTTAAATGTTAAAATAGATAGTTAAAGCTAGATTTCGATGAATTGTCTTAAATTGAATCATATAAACTAAAAAAAAAACTCTAGAAAATCAGTATATGAAATTATTAGTTTTAAAATGAAATATAAAAATATAATAATAATTTAGAAGATAAAACTGAAAAAAAAAATTAACCCTATGATATGACATGCATTATATAATTATAACATACCGTTGGCATGAGTTTTTATTTTTATTTTTATGACTTAGGGTGTCCATGGCATCAGGCCCGGCCGTAGACCTAAGCCCACCAAGTCATGGCTTAAGATCCCTCAAAATAGACTCAAAAAGAAGCCCCCCCTCTCTTATAATTTAGTGTAATATATTATGTATATTTTATGTTCAAAAAAAAATTAAAAAAGACTCAAACTAAATTAAAATAAATTGACCCATTAAAAAATTAAAAGGTCCATTCAAAATTAAAAAGGCACATTCTCTCTTCCTATCTAATTCCTAACCCTAATTACTCTTAATCTAATTCCTAACCCTAACTACTCTTAATTCAATTTTTCCAACAACTTGACCGCAACAGCCCAACAAAGAGCAAACCTAGCAGCAACACACAAAACAAAACAAAGTACACGGTCCACAGATCAGCAACAGCAGAACAGTAAGCACAAGTAATTTTTTTTTCTATTCAATTAATTAAATATTTGTCTTATCTTTTGCTCAATTGCTATTATAATATTAGTATTTACATCATCAAGAAGAATTTTTTTAATTTTAATAGTTTGTCTAATAAAATTTAATAATTTGTTTAAGAATTTGTCTTGTCTTTTTTTAAGAATTTTTTTAAAAATTTGTATAAGTTTGATAATTTGTTTAAGAATTTGTTTAAGTTTAATAGTTTGTTTGATACACTTTTTGTAATTTTAATACAAATTTTTTGTCATTTACCTTTAATTTTTTTTCATTTAATGAAAAAAAAAATATGAAGGATCTCAAAAATTTATTAGTCAATTATCGACTTTGAGTCTCGAAAATCTCATGGTCGGACCTGCATGGCATGAGTTATTTTGGCTAAGTAATAATCTTTCATCTACCGAATATGAGAGTCCAAGCTCTACCCCAATGAGGTGGCAGTTCCTACGTGAATTCTCTACTTACGCCAGTAAAAGAGGTAGAAAACTCAAAACTCTCATCTCTCACCCTCCTCTCTCTTTTACCCACAATCTCTCTAGCCGGCGGCCAACATATCAGTGCAATAGCTGCCGTCGACTCTGAACCCAATAATTGGTTTTGATTTGCAACAGCTGATTTTAGAGGGTTTTGGCAGATATCGAGGGTAGAAAAATGAACCCAAAAAAATCAAATTTCAAAAACAATCACCATAGACAAACCGACCACCTCACCATAGACAAACCGACCACCTCTCATCTCCTCTTTCTTTCTTTACTGATGTGTGCATGTATTATATAATTATAACATACCGTGGCATAAGTTTTATTTATTTTTTATTATTATTCACCTTGCTTTTTTCCGCTTTTCAAAAAATACTTTTCAAAAAATTCTACTTTCTTATTTTTCATATTTTTTTGTTTTTACTGAATTTTTTTAATATTTTAAGCGATTTTTTTACTTTTTAGACATACCCAACATAAATACACCTAAAAAGTAAAAAAATTATAAAAAAAATCTTTTAAAATTCACTAAATACCAAAAATACAAAAAAAATATAAGAATTCAGTATATTTTTTATATTTTTATATATTTATTAATTTTTTTAAATATTTTTTTACAAATTTTTTACTTTTTAGATACATCTAAGTAAGGTGCATCTAAAAAAGTAAAAAAAATGTTTAAAATTTAAAAAAATATTCACTAAAAATAAAAAAAATACGAAAATTAAAAAAGTCAATTTTCAAAAAACTTAATTCAAAAAACTCAAACCAAACATACTGATTATTTTTTTTTATGACTTAAGGTGCCCAACGCATGGCACAAGAATCCTCTAGAGTGATCTGGTGGAGTGATCCTCTAGAGTGATCTGGCGCAAGGATGAGTTATTTTGGCTAACTAATAATGTTTCATCTACCGAATATGAGAGTCCAAGCCCTGCCCGAATGAGGTGGCAGTTTCCACGTGAATTCTCTACTCACACGAGTAAAAGCACCAAGGATCCTCTAGAGTGAAATTTCCCTAAAGTTTCCTAGAGTACTACATTGTGTGGTTGAGATTTACTGGCAAATCACATCAGAAAAATTGATGTGACTTGCCAGTAAATCTCAACCACACAATGTAGCACTCTAGGAAACTTTAAGAAAAAATCACTCTAGAGGATCCTTGCTCGAATAAAAGAGGTCGAAAACTCGAACTCTCATCTCTTGTGTCTCTTCTCTCACCCTCCTCTCTTCCACCCACAATCTCTCTAGCCGGCGGCCACCATCAGTGCAATAGTTGCCGTCGACTCTAAACCCAATAACTGGTTTTGATTTGCAACAGCTGATTTTGGAGGGTTTTGGGAGATATCGAGGGTGGAAAAATGAACCAAAAGAAATCAAATTTGAACAAAAATCACCACTGACAACCCGACAAACCGACCACCTCTCATCTCCTCTTTCTTTACTGATGTGTGCATTCAAACCTCCCTCTCTCCTCCCATCTTCAATCATAAAAAACACCCATCTGATACACACACAGAAAGAGAGAGAGAGAGAGAGAGAGAGCAAAATACAAGAACATTCAAAGAGAGCTTAGAGGATCCAAAACATGTTATCCTATCTCCTTATTATGCTTCAAAGATTGCTTGCTCTCTCTGTCCTAATTAGGATTTAAGTCCATCCTTCAGATTTCTCTATTTCATGTCTCTCTGTTTAAACATAGGAGAGAGGAAAAAAAGAGAAGAAAATGAATTTACATTGATATATTACAAACAAACAGTTTAATTTGTCAATGATTCTTCTTATTTAACAAGCAAACAGTTTTTGCAATTTATGTTTGCATATTACATTTTTTTTGTTTGAACTTGTGTTGATATATTACGTTCACTGTTATATTACATTTTCCCCAATCTGCTTCATCTTTTGATGTAAAAAATTGTCCAACACAAGAGCATGTTGCTGATGATGAGAAGAAAGCTACCAGTTTGAGAGGAAGAGAGAGAAGAAGAGCGCTTTGTTTGAGAGAGAAGAAAGCTATCAGTTTGAAGAGAGAGAAGCAGTGTTTGTGAGAGAAAGTGGAAAGAAAGATGACCGTTTGAGGGAAAGCCGTTGTGCGTGTGTTTCACGCATAATACATGTGGCATATGGAAAATAAATGGGAGCTCTAATTAGAAATATCATTAATGATGTGGCAGAATGTGTTGTCTTTTTTTTTTTTTTTTTTTCGTTCTAACTTTTTTTTTGCTTAATCACCTCATTAGTAGTGAGTTTAGAGCCACTAAATTAGTGGTCTCTAACACTGTTGGTAGCATATAGGGTTCAATTGGCAGCAAACTTTGACACTTCTTCGGGCAATTCGGGTGGGAAATTATTAGGTGGTTGTAGCGGTACTGTTTGGCTAAATTAATCAATAAAGATAAAATCGACTAATTTAGTTAATAAAATAAAATATTATATTTAAATCATAATTATTTTATTTTTTCTTTCACAATTATCAAATCAATTACAAAAAAAACAAAAAATTTATTTAAATCACAATCTTTTTAACCAGACTAAATTGATTCATCCCAAATGAGAGCCAAATATGAATGTTAAATCCAAATGATGTCCACAACATTGTTTATTTATTTTTGTTTCTTGAGTCAGATTTACATAAACTGGTTGGTGACGCTACTCACGGACCCACCACATGATTAGATGATCCAACTGTCCATTAGATGCAATCTTCTTATATGGATGGATCCCACCAAATGTGTGAATCCCAGCATCTTGATTCTGATTTTAGTGAATTATTAATTCAATCCTTAACTTCATATCCCAAAACAAACATGGCCTAAGGTCACGCGCCTCTCAATCAGCAATCTGTGCAGTGCCTTTAGTTTTTCTTTTGTTCAAAAGCAATTGGGTGGAGCTTCTGGACACCGTTGAAGTGAAGGTTTTGAAGCAAATGCCTATGCCGGTTGATAGGTTGGCAATGGCATGAATATGATGCAGGAAGTAGGTTGGTCATCGACTATGAAGCACGGGTACTTCAAAAATGGTGCCGTACTCGTACCGGGTACTTACCGGGTGCTGGTACGCGTACCGGTACGGCTGCACGCGTACCGGATATGGCAAACAGTGTCTCGGTACGTTTGGGAGAACTGGTACAGCTTGGGTACGCCGTGGATACGCCGGGGTACGGCAGAACTCAACTATTCCGAACATGGAAGAGAAGAAACAGAGAAGAGAGGAGAGAAGAGAGGAGTACCTGGTTTGAAGCTTCGACGGCTCCGACGACCTTCGATCGACCTCGACGGCCTTCGATCGACCTTTGACGACCTTCGATCGACCTCCGACGACCTTCGCCTTCTCTTTCTCTCTCTCTCTCACTTCGCCTATTTCTCTCCTCTCTCCTCGACTCTGTTTTTCTCTCAGCTATGACCTAGATATGGATATTATATATAGATATATATATATATATATAGTATAAATTATAATTTATATTATATTATTATAACTTTTTATTTTTTTATTATATATTTTTATTTATGTTGTTATAAATTATACTTATATATAATATATATGTGTATGATATATTTTTATTTATATATTATATATATAGCCTTTATAAATTATTTAAAAAAATAGATCAAAAAAATTAATAAATTAGAACACAAAAATTAATAATCAATCATACTTATATAATGTCAATAATCAAAAAAATTAATTAGAACAAAATTATAAAAATTAATTAGAACAAAATTAATAATCAATCATACTTCTTAGTTTTGATATTTAATTTCAATTTGTAGGTTGGATCTTTTAACCATAATTATAAAAAATAAAAAAAATAAAAAAATATCGGCGTACCGCAGCCGTACCCGTATCCTACTTTTTTGAGATTTTGCCGTATCGACGTACCCACACTCGTACCCGTACCGTACTCGTACCCGCACCCGTCAAAATTAATAATCAATCATACTTCTTAGTTTTGATATTTAATTTCAATTTGTAGGTTGGATCTTTTAACCATAATTATAAAAAATAAAAAAAATAAAAAAATATCGACGTACCGCAGCCGTACCCGTATCCTACTTTTTTGAGATTTTACCGTATCGACGTACCCACACTCGTACCCGTACCGTACTCGTACCCGCACCCGTGCTTCTTAGGTCATCGAGAACTTGGATGGATAGTTCAAGAGCTTAGCAACAATATCACATCCTCATTAACATATCCAACATTCTAACTATCAAAATGTGAGAGAGTTGTCTCAACAATGTTAGAAACGTATAAAATTTTATATAATAAATTATCTATTCTCTCAGATGGAATGTTAGATATGGAACGTGGATCTCACACCATCACATGGACCCACACTTTATATGAAAGAACATGTAATTTAATATGTCAATATCTTTACTTGAATTGCCTCTACACAGTAAACCTTTAGAAGGACATCATTTGACCTGAAGGCTCATGGTCCGCTCTAGTCCAACCTATGTTATCTGGAACGTTAATCGTTTTGCTACATGAAAGGAGAAAGGGAAGAGGAACGTGATATGTCACAGGCTCTAAAATGTGGTGCGATAAAAGTAAACTAGTATATATTACATTTAAAAATTTACGATACTTCTAGCATAATTGTCTTTTAACTATTAGTTATCCAATAAAAAAAAATTTCTTCTTGTTTATAATGTTTTTATCTTGTCAAAACTTAACTCATCTTAGATTTTAATTCATTATATTTGATTTTTTCCCTCCTAAAGTAACATTTAAGGACATATATTGGAAAAAAAACTTTTGGGAACGCCTTAGATCACTAAATTTATTATTTTGAAACAAAAGTGTACTATATTTCGAAGAGCAATGATTCATACCTCCTTAAAAGTCTCACCCCCACCACCCCCACACACACGTGGGGGTTGGGGATTGGGAGATCAAAAAAAAAAAAAAAAGAGTTAGCCAATCAAATGTAAAGGGGGTGAAGGGAGTGACCCCCAAAGGGGGTCTCAACCTTTATTGTATTTCGAAACGTACGTATTAATACGTAATTTGCTAGGGTATCAGCGTTTTTGGTAACATAAGGCCCAATACACTTTTACCCAGCCCAAGCTCATACTACTAGCGGCCCAAGAGTTTGAAGTCTGACCCACGGTCTGCCTTGTTGACCTGTGAGGGGCGGTCCATTGAGTTGCCCATCTAAAAATCATGAAGAAAAACAGCGCAGAAATGAACCAAAATAGCTAGCAACCCCAAATGTTATGTCTCTAAGGCCTCGTTTGGTAAGTGGCTATTTTAACTAAAAAATTACTAAAAAAATCAAAAAGCCAACAACTTGTACTAAAAAGTTAAAAATTCTCTTTTCTCTCTATCTTTTGCACATCTTTTCGTAAAAAGTCAAAAAGTCATCCCAAACATACTAGTTTTTTTTATGTTACATTTTAGTCAAAAAATCAAAAATTACTAAAAAAGCCTGTTCTAAACAAGGCCTAAATAGGATATAAACAAGGCATTTGAGGAGATAGCAGGTATACATAAAACCCAATTATAGCAGATATTATCTATTAAGTCTGGCAGATATTCTACATAGCCAGCTAGACAAATGCTATATATGTATATCTTTGACCACACATATGTAACAATGTCCTTAACCAATGGACTCATCTCTAAATTAAATCCTCTCTCCATAGACATCCGGTTCACATTTCGGCAGAGAGGAAGGAGAAGAGCCTCTCTTTCTTCTTCCTTCTCCTCCCCTCTTTTCTATCTCGTTTGATGGAATACCCACCACGGGTGCACTCTTAGCACATTGAGCCATTGTTGCCTTCAATGAGTCTTGCACCCCCACCGCCATACGCCATGATGTCAGATAACAATGGAAGCCTCCGGCCACCACCGTACCGCCGCAACATTCCCCGGTACCACTCCCATCACAAAAAAGGAAGAAACTGTTGCCTCAAATGCATATGTTGCTTCTATTGCTTCCTCTTCCTCTTCCTCGTCATCATAGCTGGCTCTGCTTTCTATTTCTACACCTTCTACAAGCCCAACATGCCTTCCTACCAAGTACAAGGCCTCACCGTCCAGGCTTTTGACCTCCAGCCCGATTTCAGCCTCCTCACCGAGTTTTTGGTGACTGTGAAGGCCCAAAACCCCAATGAGAATGTTGGGTTCAAATATGGCCGCGACAACTTCGTGATTGTCTCATACAAGGACTCCACACTTTGCACTGGGCATTTTCCTTCGTTTCTTCAGGGCCATAAGAACACAACCATGATAAATGTCTTGTTGCCAAACACAACAAGTGAGTTCGGGTCGGGTCTTCAGGAGGCCCTCATGCAGAACCGAAACAGCGGGAAGATTCCGTTGTTGGTGCAGGTGAAGGTGCCTGTCAACGTTGTGGTGGCCGAGTTTTCAATGAGTCAGTTCAAGGTTTTCGTTAATTGTTCCTTGGTCGTGGATAACTTGTCTCCTAACAAGAAAATTGGGATCTTATCGAGTAAATACAATGTGGGTTTTTCATTGTGAATTCGACAAATGCATATTCAAACTTCATGATCGCTCTTCTTTTTCGAGTGAACAAAACAAACCCAAGTTTCTCCAAGGACCACTTGTGTAATATTTCAGTTGTTTAACAAGGATTCATGTATGTTATAAAGTAAGATAGATACGAATATGCAGGTGTAGCTTGTGTAACGTAGGCTTCTGTTGGATTTTCAATTCAGTATGGATAGCAGGACAGAAACTAGATTTTCATGATCAATATTAGATCTCTATTCTATAGTAATAAAACAAAACTACGGAGTTTCATGGTTGGATACTCAGAGTTTGAACGGTCTAGAAAGAAATGGTAATTCTATACAGTTCATTTGAAGAAGAAGGGATATGAGGAATAAAATGTTGCAATCATGTTCAGAAACTGACTTCAACCAACAATGTTTCAGAACCAAGTGTCTAGGTAAGAATTTTATGAAAACATTTATGCGTGTTCTATGTTACAGGAACAGTTGCTTCTCAACGATCTTTCAGGATCAATAATTTGGCATACCTGTTCTATGATGCGCTCAAAAGAATTTTCATCAAAATGAAGCCTTAGCTTTTGATCCCCTGAAAAATTAGGGCTTTCTACAATAAGAATTATTTTAAAGGATTTTCTTTGCAGGTTTTAGGCAACAAGCTAGGTAGCCTAATGGTTGAGCCACCTCTGACTAGCGGACTTATCTAATTTTCATGTCCAAGGACATCAAGACAAGAGGCAACAATATTTCATATTTCTTAAATATTGTTATAATGATGTTTGCAAACTAAAAAAACCATTTTGTATATAAAATGAAAGTCTTATACATACTTACACTACGCCAAAATAGAGCATTAACGGCGGTTTTTTTAACGGCGGTAACGAAAACCGTCGTTAAAGGTATCATTAACGACGGTTTTGTTACCGCCGTTAAAAAAACCGCCGTTAATGCCCACTTTTAACGGCGGTAACAAAATCGCCGCTAATGCCCAATCATTACCGCCGTTAATGACGGCGGTCTTTGCTGGCGAAACTCCGGCGTGCTCCGGCGAAACTCCGGCGAGCACCGGCGAAACCATCTACAATAAAGTAAAAGTAATGTTTAAATATTTATTTAGGGAATATATTTCATAAAGAGTGGCTATGGTAGAGTGGTTAGTGTGGGTGAATGAGAGGTTGAGGGTTCAAGACTTAGGGAGTGAAAGAAGAAAGAATTATTTTTTTAAAAATTTGAACCTATTTACGGCGGTAAAAAACCGCCGTTTTTGGTCTTATGTTACCGCCGTTTTTGGTCGACTTTTAACGACGGTAATTTACCTTTTTACGACGGTTGTACTTTTTCCGACACGCGCATAAACGGCGGTAACAAAATCGACGTTAATACCGCCGTTAAAGGCTTTAATGGCGGTTTTACAGCTTTTAACGGCGGTAAAAAACCGCCGCTAAAGCCCAATTTTGGCGTAGTGTTATATAATAAACTCTACTACTTATATATATTAACATGTAGAGCAGAACAGAGCAAGGCATACCAGATACAAGAACAGAACGAAGTACATTTGGAGAAATAGAAGATTGGGTAAATTGGGTACTCATGTTAGAAGATTTAAGTATCTAAATTGAGTATAGGTGTCGGATACATATTCCACACCTTTACCCTTATCTTACCTAATGGACCATGTACATTTACGTTGTGTTTGGTTGGGAAATTTGAGAGGGATTTAGAAAGGAAAAGGAAAAAGATGTGTGAAATTATGTGAAATATAGACATATTTTATTCACATTTCACCCACCTTTTTCATTTCCCTTTTCAAATTCCTCCTCAAATCTTTCAACCAAACACAACATTAGAGAAATCGAAGAGTCTATAGAACATAGCCCACAAGGTTACACTAAGCTCAAGTAAATCTTAAATCCAAAACAACTAACATAAACATTTCTTTCCATTCAGCCGAGAAGGAAGATAAGAAGAAATTCATAAAAAAACCAAAATATAATTGTCTCAGAAGCTTACACAGTTAAAAGCAGGTTGCTCCCTGCTGATGCACTACAAATCTTTGTCTCAATACTAGTCAATTCATTTACTTGGCATACCGCGACGAGTACGAGTACTGGTACAATATAGGTACGTTGATATGGTAAAATTTAAAAAAAAATTGGGTAGAGGTACGGCTTGGTACGCTTATAAAAAAATATTTATTTTTAATTTAGAGTAATACAAAAATTAATTAAATTGTTTAATTTGTTAAGGTCCAACTTATAATTAACACATAATCCCAAAAGTAAAGATATAAATTAAAATTAAATGTCAATATATTAAATAGCTTACAAATCATAGTTTAATTTTAAAATCATATTCAGCATAAAATAAAAAATAAAAAAGAAGTTTAGTGAAAGGAGTTTTATCTCTGTAATAGAAGAAAATATTATTTCAACTGAGGTACGGTACGGCTTGAGTATATACTAGGTAGTTCTAGGTATACCAAAAATTAAGAAGAAAAAATTTAAGTACATATTTTATATACATAGTATATATATAGAATTATCATATGAGGTATCATACGTCAGTAAATATCCAATATGAGTGCGACATATTTTTTAAAACACCCATATTTCATAGCTTGGCACTACCTATGCTATTTGGAATTGATCAGAAGCATCCTATATGCATTCCCACCAAACAAAACGCCCAAAGTAGCTACACTAAAGAGATTTGGATCCTCTATAAGTTGCAACATGTCATAAAATCCAAAATCAGTTGGCAATTTGAATTTGGAAATGGCGTGTATTTTTTTGTCTTTTCCTTCTTCTTTGGCCCCATTTGGGGACACATCACCAACATGGGTCCGAATACCATAGGACACATTTGACTTGTGACTATTTACTTTTTATAGATGATTTATTAAATAAAATGTATTTAACATTATGATGAAATGGTTTTATGATTGACAAAATAGTATTTTATACATTGAATGATGTTAAATTATAAATAACTTTTTCATGTCAAATTAGTTAATTTTTCATTGTTTTAAATTGTTTCTATGTAATATTATTCATAAACCTATCACTGTTCGTGTTCGTGTTCGTGTTCGTATTTGTATTTGTATTTCTACTTTTGGACACACTGCAGATGGGAGCATGAAGAATATAAGTTTCGAGCAATTAATTAGCGAGATTTCTTAGTTTCATCTCAACAAATCAATTAAGGTATATTTTCTTTATTGATTTTTGATGTATTAAAGTGTATTTGAAATGCTTTTTTGATCACCTGAGTTGCTTGTTTAAAATGCTTAATTAAAATGTTTTTACTTAGGGCCTGTTTGGTAATGTTTACGTTTTCAGTTTATATTTACAAAAATTTTATAAACTGATTTTTGTTTATTTTTAGAAAAACATAAACTACAAACGTGTTTGGTTTAGACAAAATATTTAAAAAAATTTAAAATATAAAAAAAAAGTGAGAAATGACAAGTGGTGGCAGGTGGTGGGTGGTGACGAGTGGTGGGGGGCAGAAGACGGTGGTGGAAAATGATGGCGGGTGGTAGCAGCGAAAGACGGTGGTGGAAAATGGAGGCAGGTGATGGGTGATGGTGGCAGAAGACGGTGGTGGAATGTGGTGGCAAGTGGTGGGTCGATGGGTGGGTGGTAGTGGCGGAAGACAATGATGGAAAGTGGTGGCAAGTAACGGGTGGTGGTGACAGAAGACGGTGGTAGAAAGCGGTGACGGGTGGGTAGATGGTGGTGGCAGGTGGGTGGTGGATAGCGGGTGGGTGGTGGCGGCGGGTAGGTGGTGGTGGGTGGACTGGGTGCGGTGACGGTGCAGGTGGTGAGGTGGTGGGCGGTGGATGGTGGTGCGGTGGTGGTGGGTGGCGGTGACGGTGGCGGCGTGGTGGGGTGTGGCGAGCGAGTGGTGTGTGCGCGGTGACAGTGGCCGGGGACGGGTGGTGGGTGGTGGTGGCGAGTGGGTGGGTGACGGGTGGATGGTGGGTGATGGTGGTGGTGGTGGTGGTGGCAAGTGGGTGGGTGGCTGGTCGGTGGCGGGTGGTTGATGGAAGTGACGGTGGGTGGTGAGTGTGGGTGGCGGGTAGGTGGCCGGTGGTGGTGGCAGGTGAATGGGTGACGGTGGCGGGTGGCAACGAGTGGGTGGGGCGGATGGCGAGTGGTGGGTAGTGATGGCAAGTGGGTGGCGAATGGCGAGAGGTGGTGGTGGCGAGTGGGTGGTGGCGGCTGGTGGGTGGTGGTGGTAGGTGGGTGGTGAGTGGTGGTGGCAAGTGGGTGGTAGGTGGTGGTGGCGGAAGACGGTGGTGGAAAATGGTGGCGAGTGGTGGCTAGTGTTGGGTGGTAAAAAAAAAAAACTCAAAAACTCAAAACGTAAACTCATTTTTTGAGTTTACATTTTTTGGCCAAATTTATAAACTGAGACCACTGATTTATAAATCAAAAATTTACTAAACAAGTTTTTATTTGAGTTTTTAAAATATTTGTAAATATAAATTAAAAATTGAAAACGTAAGTGTTACCAAACGGCACCTTAGTATTTTATGTTGAAAAATAATGGTTTTATAGCAACTTTAATTCGAAATTAAAATGGGACCCAACTACCAATTGAGGTGGGTCTAAGTGGTATTGTATTATCTTAAGTGAGAAGATTACAATATAAAATGATGGGCATAAACCATTAAGTTGTGAATGAGAATTGTCTCATAAAGTGAGCATCAATAAAGTTGGATTTAGATTTAGACTGAGCCTAAACTTGTACATATGCTAGGTTTGGTCTTAGATTTTGATTTGAACCTAGTCTTGAACTTTAGGCTAAGCTATGTTGGGCTTAGTTTGTACATGTGTTTGAGATTTGGCTTGGATCGGGTTATGACCTAACACACGTATCCATTTTACAACACATCTAGTTTAATTTTCAAAACTTATACATTACATACACATCATGATTTATATAATGGTTTTGGAGTTTTGAACATTTGTAACTCTAACCATTAGACCCCATTGATGTTAGCCTTCATGGCTAAGGCTCTCCCCTACTAGTATAAATAGAGATCTTTCTCCTCCAACTTAGTAGATTGTTTTGAGAGAGGTTTTATGATGAAAAATGAGATGGTATTTTGAGATAAAAAGTTGGAGAAGGTTTTTTACACCAACGAAAAATTTTCTATTTTTTTTTTGTTTGCTTCTTTTTTTGTTCTTGTTAGAGAGAGTGTATCCATTATCAAGTTCGCCGAAACTATTCAGAAAGT